ATGACATTTTTTTTTAAACCCTTGCTAATTTTTAAATAAACATAAGGTTTTTAAATATTTTTTGGTATAATTATATGGACGTTATGACGCGGTATAATATCACATAAATTCATACATATAGATTTAAAAATAGTTTCTATTATTGGTTTGTAAATATTACTGAAGGTGTAAGTAAATGAAAACAAATTGTCTTTGAAGAAATTTAAAAAAAAGTTAACGATTTAACAACGACCTTATTAAATGCTGGCAGGGTAGGGGTAGGGGTAGTTAACAACTTCTTAGCAATTTAATAAAATCCCATTAAACTCTCTATTCGTCCTACCATTTTGAATTCTGCAATGATTGTGCAAATTTTAAAATTAAAAATTTAAAACCATTGTATTGTAGTTATTCAATATAATTTTGCATACACACAGGCGAAAATTATAAATTTTATAATATGTAATGCGAAACATTATATTTTATTAGAATTTACAATGAATAAGAATAATATTAAAAGGGCTTTTGCGAAATCCTCGCACATATTTATGCAATATTTTAATTATTTCAATTTCATTCGACTCATTTCGCATTTAAAAATTTTTGCACACAAAATTTGAAGTTAATAAAATTTTCATGTATGTGTAGAAGGAATGGCAGTTAACAAAAATTAAGGGGAATTACCAAAAAATAAAATCATAAAAAATTTTATTTTCCGCGATTTTCAACAATGTTTCTTAAGAATACCATGAACAACTTGAATGAGAATTTTAAATATTATAATTATATGGCATGATAACGTCAACTGATATTACAATATCTTGCTAATCAGCGCTCTCTCAGATCTTGCAAATTTAACTTATCAGTAGAACTAGTCTAGAATGGGTACTAAATGTAGTTTACATCGTTATTTGTTATACAATTTCAGTTGATATCAATATAATAATTTAAAACTGCAAAATATTTTAAGATATTTTATTTATCCTTAAGCTTAAAATAATGTCCTTGATTACAAATAATTTCTTTTGTGTTATTGAAGCCGATGGAACAGAAATTTCTTATAACCTTAAATTTCTAACAGAAATCATGTAATTTCTTAAATATTTTTAAATTTTTGTGAAAACTTTAATGAAATTCTATTGATAAATTTTTCTTTTGAAACCAACAACTCAATTTATTATTATTACAACAATAAGAGACACTATCCCTTCAGTGAAATCTCATATTATTTCTTGAAGAACTCAAGTTCATTAAAATATGCTATCAAAAATATAAAATGAAAATTAAAAGTTTTTTGAATAAAAGTGTCAAAATATTTTTAAAAATTCATAAATTTTAATCCTTTTTTCTTTCAAATTTTTCTCATATTTGATTATTTTCAAACTCTATTTAATTTAATATTAAATTTTATCTCATGAACTCAAAAACTAATCAATATAAAAAATTTTATAAATCACAATCATATACCAAAATATTTTACATTTCACTATTATATTTTATTTCAAATAGAAGCACAAACACAGAGAAAAATTACATTGTGATTCTATCCTTTATTTTAATTATATTTTTATATAAAAAAATTTTCTATCAGAACATTATGTATGCATAGCTCCAAATTATGTACAATAATTTGTATGTAAAATAACATTGGGGCCAGATTGAGGATTTTCCAGAAAAACTATAATAGAAAAAATTATCATTTATTCTATTATAAAGCAATCAACTATCAAAAACTAACATGAATGACTATTAAAAATCTTGAAGCAAGTTCAAGTGTCAACCCTTATCAAAATTTCAAATGTGAAAATTATTTAAAAAAATTTTTTATTTAAAAAAAAAAAAATTATGATAAAAATTATCATAAATTTTTTAGTCTAGTGGGTAAATAAAAAATTTTTATTAAAAGAAAAATTAAATGAAAAGTAGAGTTTTTATGTAAAAATTTTTGTTGCTTTGTAGCCCTTTTCACTTAATAATGGATGCTCCACTTAAATATTCTGTAGGATTTCAAAGGTATTGTATTTTAAATTTTGTATAATTTCATTATTAATTTTTTCTTACTGAGTAAGTAACACTGAACTGTTAAAGTTCACTATTATTTTTAATAAATTAAAAGTTAATTTAATTCAACTCATTTTAAATAGACAAAAAATTAATTTTGTCAAGGAATTTAAATAAAATTAATTAATTTATAAAAAATATAGAAAAATCAGATATTTCTAATAATTAATGGAAAGCTTTTACACTCATTGAATTGAGACAAGTAAAGCAAATCTCATTATTTCTAAAAATTCTACAATTCCATATAAAAATCGATGTTTTTTCACAAATTCTTTAGGTCATTCTAAATAAAATCTCTTCAATATAGTTTTTCTGTTACATTTTAGGTAAAGACTAACCTTAACACTGCTCTATTAAGTCTAATAAGCTGTAAAGGCATTAAAATAGTTCTCAAAATTAAAGAGAAATACATACAAATGGATAATAAAGCATAACTTAAGGCGCATTAGTAAAACTTATGTAAATTTTAATTAAAATATTATACAGAAATTAATTCATTTTTACGTAAAAATTAACATAATTTGGTAGAATAGCATAAAACATACTCGCATATATTGAATATGTACTCATTTTGGTTAAAAGATTAAATGTTTACTATACTGGAACTAATATATAAGTTTATTTACGAATGGCTTTCAGAAAATTTTATTTTTTATATTTGTGAATGATTTCAGTTTTTATAAAATTTTCCGACGCTAAATATGTTTTGAATTTATTAATATGTGAATCAAAAAAAACAATTTTAATAAAATTTTATACAAAAAATGTTCATTAATTATTTTTTCAATCTGAATCAAATTTTACTGTTTAATATTAAACGTAATCATACTCAAATTACTTTTTTTTAAAATATCAAACATAAAAACTTATGCTTACAAGCATTTGATACACGAATTTACAAACCATTTTCACCATACCAAATTTCTATTAATATATTTTTTATACAACTCTCATATTATAATATTTTAAATGATTTATACTTCGATAACATCATTAATTTGTAAAAATTAATCATTTTAACTTTGTAAGAATAATTTCAGAGATATGAGATCAGTATATGTGTGATATATTACTTTTTTTTTTAAGAGCAATTAAAAATATTATTTCAGTCACATGAATTAAATTTTTTTTTCAAAAATTAGTTAAAATAAAACCAAATGGTACAATATATCTATAACGTTTCTTAATAGAACACGAAATTTAAAACCAATTTTAATATGCACACGGTAAGGGAGCAAATTTTCCTTTAAATAATCTCGCACACTCAACATTTCTAAGAATTTTTTTTCTAAATTTGTTAATTTATTTGAATGGATCATTATTATAATTAATTACTAACAGAAATAAATCTTAATGTGTCTAACATATGAAAAATTCCAAATTAATTTGAAATTTGGAATTGGGCCGTCACTAATCAAGGCTAGGACAAACAAATAATCAATAAGTCAAAAAATTTTTTTTAGCTTTTTTGGGGAATTTTAAAAATATGTTTATATAATGGTGCGAAAATCATAATAATTAACATATTAGGAGTATAATAGGATGTGTATCTTTACCCTCAATATTAAATTTCATTTTATTTTCGATATCGATTTATCTTTTTAAATATCATAAAAAATTCAATTAATTATTCTATAAATTAATTTTTCACATTATATTTTTAGTAGCAATGGTAATATTAAATTGTTTATGGGAAATTTTTTAAGAGAATTATTATTTTTAAGTTACACGTAATATTAATTAAGATTTAAGAAGCAATTCGATAATAATATTGTTGCAAATTGTTGTTGTAACACAAATTTTGTTGAAGTTATTAATCAATTCTTCCATGGTGAACAAGCTAAAATATAAAATATCAATATTTACTTTGCATGGATGACAGAATTAAAATCGTATTCAAATTACATTCATGCTAGTATTAAAATATAAAGTATGAGATTTACAAAAATATATTGCTCGTATAGTATTAATTCTCATTCTCTTTCATGCGATAATACTCTTCTTCCTTTTATATATTACGTATGCATTAAATAATTTTTATTCACAAGTATTTCCTATTTTAAAATATAAGAATTTAAAAATTGTTTAATTAAAAATTTTATAATCTCAACAAAAAAAAAAAATTATTTTTTAATTAAATTTACAAATTTACTTACTTTCAAAAATTTTTTCTTAAATCAATTATTTAAATAAAAAAAAAATCAATATTGAATTACTCGAAAAAAAGGCTTTAAAAATTTTCAAAAATAAATTATTTAATAGCAATAATAAAAAAAAAAACAAAATTCGCTGATTAATATAAAAAAAAAATATTCAATATGTACTCATACAAAAATAAACTGGATATAATCAAAATCTTTTACGAATTAAATCAAAAATGGTATGTCCTTTTTTGTTGCAAATATACAAAGATAACAGATATAATCATTAAAACATAAATGAGGAGGGGATTTTGTTTTCGTCAATATTATATAAGAAATACAAAAAGGTGTTTTCATCTTATATACTTGCTCTTCTTTTTTTGTATTATAGTTTTACGTCAATTCGAATCATCCAAAATTATTGTTTAGGTATTATTTAAGTATTGTAAATCAAACCGAAACCTTACAGAAAGATAATTTCTATATATATATACTATTATGAGATTTAAAGAAATATAACAGAAATGTATATTATATATACTAATAGGATATTATGGTTATATATGCTTAAATATAAAGGTGTATTTCTAAAGATTCCTTCTAAGAAATTTTATTTAGCACAAAAATAAATAAATAAATTTTCTTTATAGAGTAAAAAGAAAGTCAAATTAAATCCCATTTCAAAAAGAAAATAACCAAAACAAAGAAAACAGGAACTTGAGGGATTTTCTCTTTAACAAATCAATTGGTTTTTTCTTATTCTTTCTCTTATTTTGAAATTTAGTTTTATTTCTCTTAAAATATTATTTTATTTCTTACCTTTTAAGTTTAAAGACCCTTGAAATTTAAACCATTTTTGTCACCAAAAAAATTTTATATATGTATATATAGGTTATATCAATTTTGTGCGAATTCCATTTTTATATTTTTTATACGCAAACTGAAACGGAAAAAAAAAATTAAATTTTTCTTTGTAAATTATTTTAATAAATTCTAAATGCGTGGTGAATATTATTTACAATTTTTTATAAAAATGTGGTTAATATAATAAATGTTGCCACTGAGTATTAATTAAATTTTCATAAAAAAAAAAAATTATTTGGAATCAAATGAGAAAACTTTATAAGCTAACAGTAACTTAATAATGATAAGTAGGTGAGAAATAAGAGTTTGAATCCTATAAACGAACAACATAAAGAGAAAATTATGATTTATTATAAATTAATTAAGGTAACATAGAGGAGCAAAACATCAGTATGAATAGATATGATAATAGTTAGTTATGGAATACTTCTTAAGGGTAATTCAATCAAGTCTTAAAGTCTTCCCATCTCTTCTTTATCTCTAATTCATTAACGAGTGCCAAAGAAATTATATCATTGCTATAATCATCTGTTCTGAGTATCAAAATTTCATTAACGTGTATAAAAATATTTTATAATTATTACAATTAAATTAAGGATGTAATCGAGAATTTTAGATTGAAATCAAGGAAATTAATTTGTTTTTTAAATTAAATTTATTTCCATCGGACATGAAAGCCTACCCGAGGATTGGATTTTTTGTAGACGGGAAGTTAATAAGAATTTTCTAATATAAATTTTATAGATTTAGAAAATCGTTTATTATTTATAATTCCAGAATAAATTTCTAAAACGCTGAAAATTATTTCCGATATTTCAAAAAATAAAAAAAAAATTAATATCTTCATTATTTTAATTATTGATTTAAAAAATCCTTTCAATATAACACACACTGTTGTGGTATTTTTCTCTCTCTTATAAATTCTATTATTAATTTTTCTATTCATCATTGAATTAAATTTTCTTAGAAATTATTAAAATGTTAAAAAAGAAAATCGATATAAAAAAATTTTTTCTTTTCTCACACACACTGTGCTTTCATTTTGTCAAATTTGATTAAAACTGGTGTAAAAAATGAAAAAAAAAAAAAATTTTCCAAAAAATTTAATACACGTGAGTCGCATGAGTATCGTCTTATCATTTTCCGTTATTTGAATCTTTACACCATCTTCACCATAATAAACAGCACGATAAATTCTTAACCAATTTACCGTAGATTGAAAATTAAAAAGAAAAAACAAAAAGAAACGAAACAATTTTTTTTTTCCTCTCCTATCTTATTACATAGGTAACCACTTTTTATCTGTTTTCTCTCATTTCACGACTAAATATATATATATGTATAGCTACAAATATAATATACACTAACATATTTTATAACCTTGTTACTACTACACTTATTCAATTCGGTGGGCTCATTATAATCTTTTGAGTATTTTTCTCCTCTTTAAATATATTTAAGCTGTTGTCGGGTAAAATATTTTTCAGTAAAATATCATCATGTAATATTGTTTTAACATTTTTATGTTATTATATTTATTATACATAATGGTATACATATAGATTATATAATTATAGTTATAAAACTCTTAAAGAAAAAAAAAATATAGTGAAAAAAAAATATTTCACACAATAAATTTTTCATGTTTATAATATATATATATAATATATATAATTAAATACTCTTAAAGGAATCTTTTAATCCTTAGAGATGGAAAATATTTAATAACATTTTATTAAAGCCAAAAAATTAAAAGTGAACAGTTTAGTCTTTAATGAGGTATAGGTATTTTGCTTGAGTTGGGTAGATAATTTCAATATGGAGAAATTTTTGCAGTTCTTCTAAATTTAATTGCAAATTCTAAAGCGAATAATAAAAAGGATAATAGTTATTGAGATGTTTAATTGTATTGCAAATTTTATCTTCTGAGACAAATTACATGTATTGATATTTTCTTGAAAAACTCTTACCTATAGCAGTACAGAGTCCCTGTATTTACCTACAGCAAAATGAATGTTATGAATAAATTTTTAATCTTTAATAATTTTTTAAATTTTCTTAAAATAATTCCAAAATTAAAACAATACAATTTGGCAATTTAAAATTAATAAATTAATTATGAAAAAACATATTAGACTATTATGGGAAATTAATTGCGTTAGTAAAAGAGAAATATTTAAATTCACCATTAACCATTCGCTCTCAGAATATTCAATATACCTAATATGAAATTGTAAACAATAATAATTCACATTATAACATATAACGAACTGATATAAGTGATAACAGTAATAATATAATTGCTATAAAATGCTGTCTAGTGTTACATACTCTCCTCTTACTTCTCTATCTTTGAAATCGAAATACGATTTAAAAATTTAAATTCTATTATACGTAATTGCTAATTCTCAATGTTTGATTCAGTTTGAAAGTCAATGCTCTGTAAAATTAGACAAAAATTTACAATATTTTTGTACGAGAAATATTTCATGAAAAAAAAAATAAACAAAAATTTTTAAAAAAAGGATTCAAGATAATTTTTAACAAATTTGTTAAATTGTAATGACAACGAACAAATGAATTAAGTCATTTAAAATAACAAAAATTTTTATTGCCAAACAAAAAAAAAATAAAACAAAAATTAAAACAAAATAAATAAAACGAAATATTTTCACTATTATCAAAAGAAAGCCAATTAAAAGAATACACACATACACAAACTGAGATAGAAATATTAGAATTACATAAAGGAATACAAAAAATAGACAAAGTAATTTTGGGTCTGTTTTCATTCTTGGGATCTTCAATTTACTTTGATAATGAATTTTAATGAAGATACGAGTACGAATAAAAAATTTTTTGAGGTTTTCCCTAAAAAGGACGAATATCTATTTTTTTTTTTCTATCTTGTTGTTTTTGGTTCCGGAATCTTTTAACCAAAATCTGATATGAAAATTTAAACATTTTGTAAGTACATAAGAATTTTTAGAATTTTACAATGATTTGTATTTTTTCTTTCCTTAGATTTTCATTTTATTTTCCTTGAATAAGAAAATTATAATGTTAATCAAAGAAATGGACTAAAAATATTTTTGAATGATGAATTTAAGATTAAGGCGCATTTCTCTTATAACGGTTTAAGACTTTTGTATTATAAAGTATTAAGGTAATTAATAAAACCTATAGAGATAATAATATAAAATTTAAGGATAACAGCTTATATTGTTAAATTAAATTGTTATAATTTATTTAACTTGTTTAATTAGAATTAAAATTATTCATGATTAAGACGTTAGATTTAATTTGAAGGAAATGGAGGCAGCAAATTTATTATTTAAGATTACTAAACAAGATTTCTTATACAACAATAAGAGGCTATTTTATATTGACTAATGGAAAGGGATAAGCTGTTATTGTTTTCTTCTTCTTCTTTTTTTTTGAGAAAAGGATTTCTTTTAGTATGTACTTGCTTAAAAATTATTGTAGATCATTAATTAAGCCCCAATATGATTTCATATTTTAAAGGATATTTTAAGGAGTCTAATACATTTTACAAGTAATTATGTAAAAAATTAATTAAAGTGTGTTAAAATAAATAAGATTTTTATCATGATATATTTATAAAAGTAATGACGGAATTCGCTCAAAGTGCTTAATATTTTTTATTAATAAACCAAAACCATTTACATTTCATACAATCTTATGACCAAAAAACGGTACGAATTTATTCGAATGAAATGAAAATTAAAGTCAAAATTATTAATAAAAACATCAGTAATGAAACGACTTTCCTTAACGGGCCGAACAAAATTTTCTCAACCATAAAATTTTCACAGAATTTTTATTTTCCTTCAAAATGTGAAACAACTATTTTTCCATACTATAAAAGACTATACGATAAAAAAAAATTCAAATCAAAACAAAAATATTTTTTTATGCAAAACAAATTTTTTCTGTTATTATTTTTAATAAATTTAAAATATCTGCATTTTTCTATTAATATTAAAATTTATATGTATATATTTTGTTTTCTGTCACAAACAAATCATAATAAAAGTTTATATATATATGTAAGTACACTCACAAAAAATATTATCTTTGAGAGACGGGTTTGATGGATTTTCTTTGTCTCAATTGTGGAAAAACTTGAATTAAATGTATTTCCTCTTCAAATACGTATAGACTTAAGTCGGCTTGGAAGACAATTTTACGATATAACTGTTTAAAACATTTAATTTAATCATATTCAATGGAATTGAATTTAAAAGCAAAATATGCGTAAATAAAATATTAATATTAAAATAATTTATTTGTGATTTTGCCTATACCACTTTTTATATAGGATATTTTGTATATCATTGGAGATATTAAAGATTAAGTTGTTATTTATTAAATTTCATCATTCTCTGTATTAAAATTATTATGTTTTTAAATTTTAGCGCTCGGAATAAAATAAAATTTTCTAATTGTTGCTGAAATTTCCTAGCTATTGCAGATTTTAATTTTTTTGTAGCAATCTTGTTCAATTTTCGATTACGTAAATTGTTTGCAATAAAATGTCCTTAAAACAACCTCTTCGTATCAAAATTTTAAATTGAAATCACTTCTAAACTTCCTAAAAATCTTAATTTGAAAAATTATTCAGTCACACTTATAAAGACGCCCTCAATCGATTATTTAATTATTATGAAATTTCAATAAATTTACCAACATATGTGTACAAAATGACCTTAATTCAAATTCCTTAAACTTACAGTTCAATTAAATTGAATTTAACTGATTTATGCGAATCAATTCTAATTTTCATGTTCATCATACGAAAAAGCCAATTCTATGGGGTTACATGACCATAATACCATTACAATTTCATTTCAATTTCATTTGATAATTAATTTAGTTTGATCTTGACTTCAAGTCATCTTATAAAATTTTAATTACAGGCACAAATCATTCCCCATATTTTCAAAAACTAATTATAATTAATTATTCTGCATCCCTTAATTGTAATTGTATTATAAACGAAAAGATAAAATGTATCATGTTATATTCAAAATTATATTAAATAGTTGCTAGTAA